AAAAACGCACAGGAGAACCAGACCCTGGAGCGCCGGCCTCTTTATTTACTTACTCCTCTTCATCCCCTATGGGTAATAAGGCTGAGAAGAGAACCCTCCATCGTATTTAGTCCTTAGCAATATGCTGCGCCTCTCCCCATGTAGGGATGGGTACCGAGCTTCGGTATTAAACGGGCCCCGGGCCGGAATTATTAAAGACAGTGGTAACGTTAAGCTCCGACGTTATCGGACTTTTTATCGGTACTGGAGACATTTAAAAAATATATGTCATATGTATTATTGCTACATACACATTATATCGCAGTTTTAGTTTCACCAACTCCGTTTCTAATATGCAATAAGACTACAACATGCGTCTATGATGTATTTTCGAGCTTTCCAATCCAGATGAGATCTCTCCCTCCCGTCTGTGTGCGAGGGGGCGGGGCCGTTTGTAAAGGTCTCCTGACTGTGTTACAGACTGTCATCCGGGTTAGTGGTTACTCTGGGTTCTGTCTTCAGGACACAGTGTTGGATTTTTTTTGTTAATTGGATGGGACTTGATTGGATTCAATATTAGAGTAATTTTCTCATTTGTGTGTTTGTTTAAATATATTTGACCTTTGTTTATGTGATTGAATGATTTACTCAAATAAAAAGGTTGATGAATTATCATCTAATGATTTGTATGATGTTTTATTTATGTTAAAGGTCACTTTGAATGATTTTAACTAATGATAATGTAGAAAAACTAACATTTTAAATTCGGGACGGTCGACATTAATTTCGGGACGGCTTAGATTGTATTTCGGGACGGTTCCGGGAGGATGGGGAAAAAAGTTAGTCGAGAGCCCTGCGGCGCACACTCAAACATCCAATCACAGAGCTTGAGTACTATCACGGGGTTTGTCCAAGCGAAGCGGAGAGAATACTTACTTCCGGGTGTAAAATTAAAGGAACTACTATGAGCTGCTCAGACCCTCGGTCCTGACGGACTCCAACTTGTGTTTATTAATCAAACAAATAAATAAACACAAGGATAATTATGTGTTATTGTTGAGTAAATAACAGTGTGTGGTTTAGAAAAGAATACAAAATTAGAAGGAACAAACGGTGAAACAATACAGATTTCAGTATTCTGTGCCCCTACTCTCCCCATAACTGACGGCAACAAAAGTCCTACATTATTCAATTAAAATAAAGAAGTACAAACAATAAGTGTGGCTTGATATTGAGTAAGAAAAAGGTTGATAAACGCTGTGAGAATGGATCTGCGGAGAGCATTTTGCCGCGATCCCAACTCCTCTATTACCAACGTTCAGGGAGCTCTATGCAAGTGGGACGCCCTGCCCGTTGAAAACTGACTTCCAAGGGGTACCCTGTCCGTAATAGAGTGACGGGGAGGGGCCCTGACCGTCCGTCAATATGTGACGGGTTGGGAGTGAGAACGTGTTGCACGCGCGCGCGCGCACACACACACACACACGCACACACACACACTTACTTCATGATGCGCCTTCTCCTCCTTTTCCCAGCATTCACTGCTTATCCGTAAATCATACAAACAAAACCAAAACGTTGATTTATCTGTTTTCCCGTTTTGGTTTAAAAACTGAATAACGTCGGTTTTTTGGTTTTCCGTTTTTCCGAAAAACCAAAAAACGACACCGGTTCTTTTTTAAACGTTGTTAATATGTTTTGGATACATATTGTTCTAGTATTTGTGCAGGCTGTTACATACAATTAGCCTCTGTTGCTACCTGCTGGTGGTGAGTAAATATTAAAATCAGTTCAAATTGACAACCGGTCCTTGATTTTTTTTTGTTTTGTTATGTATCTGCCGGTCCTTGGCACAATAAAGGTTGGGAACCCCTGAGATAGAGCACACTGTTGAGATGCCCAATCTGCCTGTTTTACACACTTTGACCAACAAGGGGGTTTGTGTTACATTACATTGCATTTAGCTGACGCTTTTGTCCAAAGCGACTTACAATAAGTACATTCGACCAGGAAGACACAACCTTGAAGAAAACAGAATCATATAAGTACATCAGGTTTCATAGAGCCAAACATTTCAAGTGCTACTCAACTGGCTTTAGGTAATCCAGTCCTTTATTAGTATAAAAGTGCTTCGTTAATCGTTCTAACGCTCGAAGTGGAGTCGAAAGAGATGAGTTTTCAGTTTGCGCCGGAAGATGTGCAAGCTATCTGCCGTCCTGATGTCAATGGGGAGCTCATTCCACCATCTTGGAGCCAGGATAGCAAACCCACGTTCAAATGAAGCCCATGATGAAGCCTCATGAGATGAACCCTTTTGCGAACCAATTGGCTGGAAAGCTTCAAAGCTTCATAAGGCTTCATCTCGCCATCACTAGTAGATGTAATGTAATGTAGATGTAATGTTATGAACTTAGCATAGGTAAAGTCACATGACAGGCAGCATCATGCTAGCTAGCTAGCTAATAGCCTGCCATGTTATGCTGGCACACAAACCCGAATACACAGCTCAAATATGCTATTAAAATTCAATTAAAAATACTTATCTTGATGAAGTGAAGCAGTGGTCTCCGTCTTTGTGAAGAATACACCTTCCCAGCCAAGTCACGATAGCGGCAATGAAACATTTTCCGCTTTAAAGTGCGTTTTTGAGGCAAAGGCTAATTAACTTTATGTTATGCTAATAGCCGACCAACCGACTTGGATAAACAGACGCCGGCCTATAAAGGCGGTTATAATATATTTGTTAACTGTCCTTCGGGGATATTGAACTGTTGGCAACTAGTGAAGCTCTTGGGTAATATATTCAGGCCAGGGGAGCAGCAGTTTACTCTAACGCAGTGGTTCTCAAAGTGGGGGGCGCAGAGGCATGACAGGGGGGGCGCGAGAGACCAGGAGAAAAAATGGTTATTAAAAAAAAAAAATTAAAAAGATTTTAAATAAAATTTAAAAAAAAATCATATTTTGAAAAATTATTGATTCGAAAATAATATGATACAGTACAGTACTATTACGTCTGGGTGTCTGTGTTTCATTAAAGCTCGGCTCTGTGTGTGAGTGGAACGAGCCATTTTGTGTATGTGCGCGAGCGAGAGAGAGAGAGAGAGCGCACCGGTACCGGAGATCGTTGTTGTTAGCTTCTGGTGCTAGCGAGCTACGCTAACGGATATAAGGAGTTTTTTCAACAACAAAGTGGAGGAGAGTCCTCTCCTGTCAGACTGAGAGACTCAGTGAGCTAAAGGACTCTCTCAGTGTTATCTCAGTGGGTCTCAAACGTTTTGGTCACCATTAATATAAATAAATTAAAAACAATTATGAAATACTATATGACATTAAAAAATGTATAACGTTTAAAAGGGGAGTGATTTGTAAAATATCCATAAAGAAATAGTAAATCTGTTTACAGTTCTGTGTTGAGAGATGTATCCATACTGTAGATCTCTTCATTTTGCTCTCAAAGTGCACCAGATTGATGCTTTTAACTTCAATATTTAAAAATAAATCTTCCCGGGGGAGCTTGCCCCCGGACCCCCCTATGTGAGGTCCACACACCACCTATAAAAATAGCACTTTACCCCTGCTTACACCTATATGCCGTGAGCTGATTATTGAGCCTTCATTGTAACAGTTGCGGGTACATTGTGTATATGCGTGGGGAGTGTTGCAGTAGAACATTCCACTGTAGCGCCCGGTACATTAATGGGAAACCCTAAATGTTTGAGCACCCTCTATGAAACGTCAAGCTACCCCACAGCACCCCCAAAATAAATCTTTGGCGCCGCCACTGAGCCTGACTATTTGTGTTGGGGGGGCCCGACTTTTTTTTTTCTCCAAAGGGGGGGCCTGACAGAAAAAGTTTGAGAACCACTGCTCTAACGTGAATAAAACGTCCTGCAACAGGTGAGACTCGATGACTAAATGAACCGCGCCAATGAGAAGGGTGCGTTCGATGTGTTGTAGTTCTTGTCTGTACGTGGAGTGAGGAGTCGTGTGTGCACAATAATTAAACATGATTAAACATAATTATTATCTAACAAAATGTAGCTACAATAAACCTTATAGAGAAAGTAGTAGTAGTAGTATTATGTAATGATGACTGTATTCTTATTTTTGCACACACTGGACAATCATAAACACATTCAAAGTATTCTTACATGTTACACGCGTTAAAATATAAATGAATATATAGTGCACATAGTTTTGGATTACATGTATAGTTGCAGAAACATAAAGAGAAACGGGGTTTTTTCAATGTCAAAAGAAAGAGGTCATAAGGAAAACATATTTTGAATCGATGTCACCATGTTCTCATCAACCAAATCCTGTACAAGTTAACCATCATTTTGTCAGTTTTCTTCCTCTTCAATTCTCTGCACTTTACATCTGTGACTCACCAAGTCACATCCAATAATAAGACGAGGAACCGAGTTTTATCTTTTAGCCTATAGGTTCTGTTCATTTACTATACAATGTTTCCTTTGTACATGTAATACTTTGAAGGAAACACATTCATCTCTCTTTTAAAAATAGCATCCGGACAGCAACACAATGCACTGCATTGTTTGAGAGTAAAGCTTCCCACTTAATCCCCTTTTTAAAATAAGTTCGCTACCAGTAATGAAGGTCTATTTTTTGTTTTCTGGAAATACAAATTACTCTAAATTGACCATTTATTACAATTATCCCTGTTTTCCTTGTCTTCAGTTTTCTGTGTAACTAAATTCAGAGAAGGGCAATTCATTGAGGGATTATAGCGCCCTCTAGTGAGCTAAGGCTGGAAGTAATTTACTCAAGTACTTTACAATTTGGAAGTACTTGTACTTTACTCAGAAGGTTGATTAAAGTTGTTTTTAAAAAAACAGCAAATTTTAGAGAAAAAGGCCCCAAATATGAATATACATTTATGAAGAAGAGAAGTTTTTCCCTTCCAAATATCGTATTTACTTACATTTTGCTTTCTCACACATACTTTAGTAGGATTTTGAATACAGTACTGATTACTAAACAACAAAGAAGATTACAAATTATTACCAAGCTGAAACCAGCTAACTTTATTTCTTACTGCATGTCCTTTGTAGCATAATACATCAATATTATCAACATCAGAATATATATATGGCTCTGAATTTTAAAGATACAGAAATCACTCAATGAAATACCCTGTTTAGACAAACAACCAATACAAAGTGCACAAATAAAGTTGGTTAAAGTCCACTGCATCACATTTACAGAACTGCTATTTAGTTTTTTAGAAAAAATAAACAAATGAAAGCTTACATTCAGAAAACCTTGAGAGGGTTTGTATCATGGGACAGTACTCATTATCTCCTCTGGTGTATACAGAAGTAGTGACCCATGCATCATATTAAAATGGCACACATCCAACGCAGTACAAACTGGAACATAAACATATTTGGCACCATATTTTAGCATAGAACATAAAAAATAACTTGCAAATACAACATTGTTAGTATGCGGAGGTAATGTTGGATTTTGGCACATAACTAAAAAACTTCATGTTCATCCATGCTCAGTCTTTATTGAAAAGTGTTTTTCAAAGTTAGTAATAAAAACCCGCTAATAGCATGAAATATTCAACATTAAAATGGTCTTTCTGAACCCTCATGTAGCCAGCTTCATGAATAGCTCCTGGCAACAGATTCTCATGTTAGTGATATTATTATGCTCAATGATGAGGAAAGCACAATTTTTTGCACCTACAAATTCAAAATTAGTTGCAGTTCTTCAGCGCCATAGTGAGTAATGTAAACAAATAAGTCGAGTATGACCTCTGTAAACCCTTTAAGCCGAGATGTCATCAAATCTATCAGACATAATCATATATTGCACTCTAGAAGGAATCATAGGTCCTTACTGCACAAAGGGCTCGTCCTGGCCTGTTCAAACCATCTTGACAAAGAAAAAGTTGGTATATAGATATAGAATTAATAAGGTATTCAGTAATACTATGTTTATTATAACATCTCGTGTATATTAACATTGTTATATAGATTATTTTAAGATTATGATATGAACAATACATATTTATAAATTGCTATGAATATAGGCGGCAGCTTCTGTTGAACAGACGCAGCGCCAGGTATAACATAATATCTATTCTATGATTATTTTCTTTCAAACAAGTACAAATAAACGCTTTCACACCTGGCTCACAGAGTAAACCAAGGTGAAACTCCATAGTGAAAATGAATTGAAGCCTCCCATGCACAGAGAGGTTTCAATACAGGTCGAGACTGGTTTTCAAACAGGCCAGCGTGAACCTTAAAAACCTCAGCATGCATGCTAAGTAAGTAGAACAGCAATCTCTGGTGGACACGTAGCACAACTACATGTTAAAACGGATATAATGTAGATTTTTATGGTGCCTTATTGGAATTCAGTGAGAGCACATTTAAAATCGTAGTCATCCGGGGCTGCACTGAACATCAATCTGCATTAAATAATGTCCTACAACAACGTATTAACAGTCTCTGGCTTTCATTTCTTATTTCAGCCTCCACATACATTTACCTCGTGTATATTTGCACCAACATATATATTAGTTTCACATCAGTATTCTATCTTAAGAGCAGCAGAAACACATATGCACTGTATACTTGTATGGACAGAAAACAAGGAACGAACAATTCCTTCATTTCGTGGAATCTGTGTTGACCTCAGTCTGTGGTGGGGGCACAGTACTATGTGTTGAGATGTGAGCTAGTGAGCATATCCTGCGGGAAAACTCCAGCTATGTATGTTTGTCAGAGTTGTATGCCTCAGGCTTGACTGGCAAGCTGCCCTGACTCCTTGGTAACTCCACTGTATCTTCCACAGATGTACCAAACCACCAATCAGAACCACCAACCCCTAATAGGAACAAATACGCAACACTAACTTTACATGTAAATAGCCTGGTTCCAAAGACATGCAGGCAATGTCCACCATCACGGATGGCTAATTCACTAACAAGTTTAACAACAAACGAGGAACCTTTCATAAAGCTCAGTCCAAATTAGGAGCCATTATATACTTAAAACGCCAGCGGCATGCACTTTAGCGCAAAGAAAAGGCAAAAAAATGCCTGTAATCTTATTCATAACATAACTCCACGTTTGTCTATGCAAATTCACTCGACACTGGAATTGAGAAGCTCACAATATCCACAATCTGCAAGAAAAAGCAAAAACTGCACCAAGCCTTGCTCTAACTATTATAAATCATCAGAATGATCACATCAACTGTCTATAATCTACAATCCTCAAAGGTTCAAACACTGCATGTTCTCTAACACCTCTTCAAACGTAGGAGATCAAAAAGTATGTTTTTAACTCCATCAAAAACTGTTCACTGACATCTCCACTTCTTCTCAGCACTGCACTGACCAACCTGCACTGGCGCTCGCTCCTGTGTCCTTACTGTGTGTTACTGAAAACATATGTGCACAACTGAAGTGACATTTTATCCACTAAGGGACAGGTGTTGTGACGTAAAAAGAAAACACCTGAAATGTACAGTAATGACAGTGGTTCTCTCATAGAGATCACAAGGATATGATAATACCAGCGCCGTCTGTACGGAGCAAACTGCAGCCGCATGCAGTTGCAAGCATGTGTCTCCCTAAAGCTGCAGGGGACAGTAAGATGCCTGAACAGAGCCCTAACGGGACCACGATTGAGCCAAAATAAAGCCTTAATGGTCAAAGAGCTGCCTGGTTGCCAAACTGTACCACCCTGCGGGCCACCTAGAGGCCGGTGAGGTCCACGATGGCCTTGATGAAGATGGTGTCGTCGCGGATGTAGGAATTCTTGGCATCGAGCTTGGAGAGCGGGCAGAAGAGCGGACAGCCGCTGGCGATGTTCATCTCGCTCACCGGTCGCTGGAAGGAAGATGAAGTGACATCAGGGCGAAAGGCGTCGATGATGTGCTCCCTGTTGCTCTGGTCCAGCAGCATCAGAGTCACCTGCAAGTAAGACACATGAGAGAGGCCTTCAAGCTACAAAGAGTTTGACCATTTATAACATTGTTGGATATAAATGAAGACTGTGTTTAGACCTAATATGGCTCTACCTTGAAAAATATCTTAAAAAAGTTGAACCCCATTCACTTTTGCTGCCACCTAATGCACTGCAATGGCCAATCAAATAAATTGAAGCACACATTTCTGGTAAATAACTTTATCACAGGAAAGGTGCTTTTCTATAGATTTCCTCAAAATCAACAAAATGTAAAGTAAAATCCAGTTTGAGTGTATTATAAATCATTGTGCAGTGTGTTTGAAAACTTTTCATATTTTATTCAAGACGAACTTCCTGGACCATATTTAATGAATAACAGGTACTATAAACAACAGTTAAGCACCCAGTATTTAGCAAATTACTGTTGAGATGATTGAAAGTAGTAATAGAATGGGTGGCTGCATATTTAACTGGATATGAGCGTTTAAAATGTAGTTCAAACAGGCCTCCAAAAATGGGAAACAGGTATAATTGTGAAGGTTGTTGCATTGCTAGGTTTTCATCCTGTCTGGTAGTTGTGATCAAAGAGCTCTGGTAGACTCATTTTATTATGCATATTTAGTATTGATCCTATTTACCTTCTGGTTGAAAGGCCATTTGAGCAGAGCGTCACTCAGTCCCCTCATCACCACAAAGAACAGGGACAAGTGGCTGCCACGCCCCGTCCCATCTCCATTCAGATAGATCCGCAGACACATCTTATATCCGTACTTACTGGTGTAAAAGGCTGAAAGGAAAAGGGAATTCATCTTTACACATTTGTAAATAATGAAACTTCTGTAATAGAAGTCTAAACGGATTCAGATTGGGTTCAAAATGTTGTCTTTTCATCTGTAATATGGACAAAGTTACCTGGTGAAAACATAGCAGGGGCTCGACCAGCGATGGCATCTTGTCTCTTTTTGGCGAAATCAGAGATCCTCCAGACGAAGACGCCATCAAAGGTTGTGGCAGACATTTCCCTCAGCCGGCCCTCCATGTCAGCCACCGTGAGGTCCTTCAGCCCCACCGTCCTCTCCAGCTGTCGCACCTGGAACACACACACGCTGTGATCAAACATATACTGTGCTGTTATTTCAAGAATACGTTGGGTTACTCAGAAAGGCCATCATTCTGGGGGTCATTCTCTTTATGGAGAATACATTACAATATTGAGTTGTCAATATGTTTAGAGGTTTTCAACACAATACAAATGTATGTTTATAAATGGAAAGAATAGCTCTATGTTTATGATCCTGATTCAGTGAGTAATGATATGTGCTATATGAGAATCCTGTGTTTTAGCCCATTTTCGTTTACTTTTTAGGAATGGCACCTTTAAAGTTTAGTGAAAAATTGCTTTTAGCAGTTTACAATGTACAGACAACTATCACTTTATTGTCATACTGAATAAAGCTTAAAATCATGATGATTCTCAGGCATTTCTGAGGTTATAAGGGGGTCTTTTTCTATGCTTTATGGACTTTTGTTTGCAATGGACACAAGAGATACTGTGTAAGTCTCATTGGATATAAGTCTGTATGTTCAGAATTGAGTCATTACTCCCAGAAGACAAAGTGTAGTGTAGAATGTGGAGCAGGGCCAGTCCTACCTTGTTACTCAGAGCCTCGATCTTGTCCTGGTCCAGTTTGTGCTGACGGTTGCTGGCCTCCATGGTGGTGGCAAACCGCTCCACCTCTCTGTTCAGGACACACACCACATTTTCAAACGTGCCGGATTTAACCTCGAGCTCCGTACACCTGCGACCCAGCTCCACCACTTTGGTCTTCTCGCTGTGGAGCTGGAGCTCCAGCGCCGCACCCACCGAGCTGGGCAGGGGGGTGAAGGAGGTAGAGACGGAGAGAGTGGGAGCCAAGGTGGGAGGGGGAGGGAGAGGAGCTAAAGTGGGTGGACCAGGGGGGCCGGAGCTGGAGGATGAGGTGGAGGCAGTGGCGGCGGCTGCTCCCTGCACGGGAGGCCCAGAGGAGGTGGTGCTGAGCTGGGAGACTCTGGCCTCCAGCTCCCTGAGGGACTGTTGGAGCTCCAGCAGCTTGTGTCCAGCTACTTCCAGTCCCTGGGGCTGCAGGCCCTCCATGCTCACCTTCATGCCCATAATGTAGTGCAGCAGCAGGTTGAGGTGCTCGTAGGCATAGGTGCGCTCATGGTCATGAATCTTTTCCTTTTCCACCTACAAAAAAAGGAGGCAACAGGAGGAAAATTAAACAAACATACAGGGAGTCTGATCAGCTGTACAAGGAACTGTGTGAAAATCTCGGGGTGTTCGGTCTCTTATTTTTTTTAAAGCAAGATTTCTACAAACTATGGCTGCAACTGACGATTACTTTTAACTAGATTACATCTCAGAAAACAAAATGAAAGCCATCTTTGTGACGTAAATATTAATATTTTCTTTATCTCAGAAGGGATAACAATATCAGATGAAGAAATTGGAATAGACTCTTCCAAAACAGATTCAGACAACCAAATCCACTTGATATTTTTCATACAGTCCCAAAACTGAATGTGTGTGTTTGAAAATATATATTTATCATTGAGGAGACAGGCATGTTACTTACAGACATATCACATCCCACAACATGAAATCGACACGGTGTTCTGAATTTGCTGCAGAACTTAATGTGGTCCACGTACTGAAAAAAAAAGAATAAAAGTCCATTCATTATTAGGAGCTAACTTAGCATAGCAGCTGTGTGCATCTCATGTATTAATCTTACATCAGTGTTAACAAAGCTGCCTGGCAATCTTTGAAGAACCAAGAGAGTGAATTAACAACTTTTATAGCTGGTAAGTAGATATTAACAGAGTTAAAAGGACTAAGATGAAAAATATAATATATATATATATATATATATATATATATATATATTATCCTCCATCTTTACAAAGACAGGAGACTAACAAAGCAGTTTTCTTTATTTTCATTCAAAAATACCAACCTTTAAATAGCAGAGACATTTTTTTCATTTTCTTAAAACCTTTATATCTTGACAGATTACTTTTATTTCCAGATGCCTTCAAGAGACTGCTGTTGCTGAGGATACTATAAATACCTTCAAAGATGTCCAAATAACATACTGTACAAGTGTTTAGATAAACATAATATTAAGCTCTGTGACTAACACACAAGAGGCACAAACTGGTAATAAGTAGCTACATGGGGCTGTGACCTTTATCCTGCAACAACATGTTTCCATGTGCTCTGCATGTGTTACCAGTCTCACCTTCTCTCTGGGTATTTTCTTCTTGGCACAGCCTTCACAGATCATCGGGTACTTGGGACAGATCTCATCATGTGCCTGGAACAAAACAACAAAGCTGACAATGTTTCCTTTAAATAACACAAAGGGCTGCTGTGATGTGCTGCACCGACTCAGACGAGCCCAGCATCTTAGCTAAGTCTAAATAAATTATTTCATACCTTGATGTTTTTGAAGTGAAATGGCTCCTTGCAGTACTTGCAGTTGAGTGTTCTCTCCGGGCACTCTCGCTCATTATGGCGCTCCTGTTCATTGAAGCGGATTCGTTCTTTACAGGAGGGGCAGGGGAGGATCATGAACTCACACTTTCCCTCGTGGTTCAGCTGTAAAAAGTAAAGTCTTCACGCACAGCTCAAAAACACCTCTCATTTTGTTTGTTAAAAATCCTGAAAGTAGGTCAAACGTCACCTTACCTCATAGTCTTTAATGCTGCCTTTCCAAGTGCAATTTTCATGGATACAAACAGCTGAAAGGTTTTCGACCTCCCTCCGAACTGCGTTGTCAGGAAAAGCCTGAACAAAAATGGACATGCTGTCACACTGCAATGTTTCTCCACCGTCACTGTTCCACTTAATGGATCATTCATGTTCAGGAAAGCTGTATATTCACAACGTCTTCAGCCCTGTATGTTAACATGTGTTTCTAGGAGTGCATTGAGAAGACATTTGTCCTGCATATCTGCTCAGTAATAAAGCATGAGGCAGCTTTCTTCCAGCTCCTAGTCTGAAAAAACCCTCAGAGCTACAGAACTGTCATGTGTGGATGCAGGTCAGTGAGCTATTTGAAGTATTATTCGAGTACATTTTCCAATGATAATGATTTTTATTGAACATTGGGGGGGTTTTAATCAACTTTGGGAAACCGTAACAGGCATCACTATAATCTGACCTTACTTTTACGATTATGAATCAATAGAGATAAGAAACACTAATTCTGAGTTCATACTATAGGTTATATTAAGAAATTCACTTTAACAAAAATTCTAACTCAAAAAGTAAAATGTTCTGATATGTTAATACTTACACATCCTTGTTTCAAAAGCGATGTAGGTTCTTCAAAAATATCCTCTTTAATACAGGCACTGCACTTCTGGGGTCCATTACTGCAATACAAATACATTATACTCACTAAACTGCAAATCCAAAGATATTGAAAAATTAGATACCCAGTGATAAAAATTACATTATTTTTCTGATTCATTTTTAAATAAAGAACATAATCAACAAATATATGAACGTGTATTATTAAAGATTAGACTGCTCAGCACTTTATTTTGAATGCAGGACTTTTACATGCAATAGAATATTCATACTCTGTCTACATTACACTCTGCAGATACCCTAACATAAAATAATATGTATATTTCTTTATTATTCTGAAATGAGCCATTCTGCATATATTTCTGCAATTCCGGTGTTTTCTGATGCTAATTATCTGCGCTTTTATTCAAGTCAATTTGTAAATGCATGACTTATATTTCTGCAACTTCAGTGTTTTCTAATGCTAATATTTCAGTACTTTTATTTAGGTACATTTGTAAATGCAGGACTTTTACTTGCAGCCTTTTAGTTGTGCTTCTCTGCCCTCACCTGACAGTCCTGTTGAAGCAGTAGGAACAGAAGCGATGTCCACACTGGGCTTGAAAGGGCCGTCGCAGGATGTTGTGGCAGCAGTTGCACAGGTGCTTGTCCTCCAGCTTGTTGCCCAGGATCTTCTTGGGGAAGCCGGGTTTATTGCTCTCCATGGAGGAGGGGGGGGACGGCTCCTGTGTGGCCATGGTGTCTGTTCACACGTCACACCTGGAGGGGGGGGGGGGGGGGGGGGGGGAGAGAAGAAGACTTGCAACAGTTATAGAGAAGAGCTGTGGTGTATCATTTCCTGTGTATCAGTCTTTGAAACAGGAGAGTGAAATCCTATCCTGCCTTAATACCCAACATGGTTCCTGATCACAGGCCAGCTGAGAGGCCCACACCCTTTGTTTACATTTAGAGTCTGCATTCATGGCTGCTTCTTGTGGTTGACTTGGCACAAAGTGATGCTGCTGCCTCTCTTTACACTCACGCAATACACGCTCTGCTCATCCTACCCAGTAACGATGCTGACAAATCGCACATCCATTGTCTCTGCTCTGCTTCCTTGTCGCTGTTGCTAAGCTATCAGCATCCTTTTAGTCAGAAGTGGTACCCAGCACGCCGCCACGCCCCTTTGAAATCTGAAGCTTGCAAGCCTGAAAGCGACCATTAAGCAACTGGAAATGGTTTATTTGAAAATCCTGTTGCAATCACCAGACTTTGCACTTACCAGCGTTTTTTTTGTTTTAGTCTAAACTGTCATCGCGTGCAGAGGATGTGAAATCTCCTCTCCTGGTCGCGGGTCGTCGCTCGTGCACCGTGCCGATATTATTAGTGGTTTTGCAGCTAGTTTTCTTCAACGTTAGCCACATAATAAAGATGTGGTCCCCCGAAAGCGATGGCTGTTATTGTCCAATATCGCCATTGCACTTTCAGACTGGGTGTTACGTCATGCAGTGGGCTGCACGCGGGTTGATAGGCAGAAGGGAGGTGGAGGCGCGCGTGTCATTGGTTCAAAACTCACGAGGGGGTGGGTCTTCTTTGTTGTGAAATAAACACCCAGAAAGCAGATTTTGTAAATGCACATTACATAGGTTTGTTTTGAATGTTACTGCTTTTGTAATCCGTCTATAAATATGTGATATTGTTATCTTTTGTTTGCAGCTTCTTGTATATATCTAAACAGAATACATGCATACAGTGCATGTATTTAAGTATATTTATATATTAACATCTAAAGGTTACAAAAAGGAAGATATTATAGATACAGTATGACAGGCAGTTGCGCTGTAAAATGAAATTCTTATGCTCAGCTCTCCACATCTACATATTAAGAAACTATACAAACAAACAAACAAACATATAAGATATGCAGGTCCCCCTTGAAAAAGAGAACATTGATCTCAATGGGATTTTACCTGGATAAATAAAGGTTTTGAATTGAATATATAAGCATATAAGAAAATGTAAAAATATAAGCGGACGTACATTAAAACAATTCTGTTCCATAATTGAAGTGCATGATGTTCTGCATGATAAAACTAAAAGTAAATAAGATGTACAAACAGGAGGGTAAAGTATAGTGTGTAAATACAGTGGTAGAAGACGAATTAAGTACACATACTTTACTAAAATAGTACATGTATAAAGTGCATTATTGGATATACCCTCAAAAGGGCAACATCTCTTCATTTATTTGGATATTTAAATCGTGTTTTCTTGATAATACTTACACTCACAATAGAAGTGTCACGATCTTAGTTTTATGTCACCGTTTTAGTTTGGTCTGTCTTGTCATGGTTTTATTTTGCAATTCTGTTCTCCCTGTGTCTTGTCTTCCTCCCTGTCGTATCTGATTGTGTTCACCTGTTGCCCTTGTGTTTCTCCTTCCCTGCCCGGCTGTTTCTCATCTCGTGATTACCCCTCCCTGTATTTAGTCTTGTCTCTTCCTGTGTTCGGTGTTGGTTCATTATTTGTCGTTCATGTCTCCCTTCATATTGGTCACAGTCACCTTTTGTTTGGATGCTACCTCGTGCCTCGTACCTGTTCATGGATTCTTGTTTTTTCAGCTTTTGTGAATAAAGCTCCCCTTTTGTTTCATTTAGAAACCTGCTTCCCTCCTCAATCTGCATTTGGGTCCTATTTTTCCCCAACCCTGACAAGAAGACTTGTACTTGTTATGGAGTATCTTGAATGTACAATATCTCCCTGTAATACCAGTAAAGTGGTATGTAAAAAGTACAAGTAACTCTTATTCGTACAGTACTTGAATAAATGTCGCCCTCTCAGGTGTTCTCAATCACTCTGGCTGATAAGCCTTTTAACCAGGTTTAAGTTGGGGCCAGGTTAATGGTGGAAATATATGATGTCACCTGTACTAATAAGAAAAAATTCAAGGCAAGATCTCCCACCCTAACAGGTATAAAACCAACAGACCAGAAATAGATGTCACATGTACATGTCACAGTGAGTATACTGAATACTTGTTAGACCACTGCCAATAGCGTCAGTACTTGAGATCAGGTTACATCATAGTTCTATGAGAGTTTGCATTCATTTGTTTATGCTCTGTGTGTGTGTCACCGTGTGGTCAGACATGTGAGACACTCGCTGCTCCAAATAAATACAATTTCAGTTGTACAGAAACTCTAAGAGACATTTATTTCAGGACTTAATAGTTAATACACAACACAATAGTTTAAAGCAGAGTCTGTGATCTAAATGCAAACAAACCACCAGTTTATTAAAACACAAGCTCACTCTATTCTATTGCCCCTGAAATGAAAGAAAGGTCTATAAACACAACCACTCAACAGCAACCATGAAGAAAGTTTCTATGGAAATGTAAAGGACTGTTTTTCTATGAGCTGAGAATGTATCTATCATTTAACCTGAATAAACCTGCAATTTACATAAAGTACAGATTGGGACTAATTTACAATAAAAATGTATGTCAAACTTTTCACTTGGCAAACCTCTATTCACATAAGCCCTTACAAACACATTTGAATCTTTTGCTACGACACACTATAAGAGGAAGTTGCCTATAAATGTCATTAAAATATATTTTACTAACATCCCTATCTAAGTTATTAATATACATGACATACATACAATTAATCTGCAATTCAATTCTAACATAACAAATCTAAATAGCACAAGTTGACCTTTTAAGAAATGTTTAAAAGACATTGAAATATGACCTTTGGACCTTTAAAAATACCTTTCTATTGTGAAATGCAAAATAAAAGCTCTGATAAATACTGCATCAATGTCTAAGCTTTCTTTTCATTAACACACTTCCATTTACCCTCCAGCACAAGATTTTCTAAAGAAATAGTAATAAAATAGTCCTGAGTGCAAAGTGGAAAGAAGCTATTATTGCACAATTTAAGTTAAAGTTCACACAGTTTTAAGAAAGCTTTGTGTATGATCCGTCTGTGCTTTGGCAACAAATCTATAACCAAATGTGATCACTGCTGATCTTCAGTGATAAACCAACCTTTTTTAACAGAGAAAGTAAAGCTTCTGTCTGGACAGACAAAAAGTCTTCTTTTAAGTCTCTTCAAGTAGCTTCCGCAGGCTCCTCTGAATCTAGGATATAAAAGATGAAGGACAACATGCTCAGATAGAAAATAATAAACCACAATTAAGTATATATAACTTCAGATACCTCCATAGAATCTTTCAAAAACAGCGTTGACATTTTGTTGACGAAATTAGGAAGAGAAGATCAATAACACTATTATATCTGTCCTTTAAATTTGAAGCTACAGCCAGCACATGGTTAGCTTAGCATAAACAATGAAAACGGAGGGAAACAGCTAGCCTGGCTCTGTCCAAATTAATCCAAACCTGCCTACTCAAAGCTAAATGTTTACCATGTTATATCTTATTTGTTTAACCCTCTAATGCTACCCTGGACTATATTACAACACACCTAAGTCCTGCTGGGATATTCTGGCTCCTAAAGCGTAAGATAGAAGCCAAAACACCTGGCATTGATAGCGAAAAGTGTGTATAAGCATAGACAACAGTCATCCCAGACAATACAACTGGAAAACAGGTATGAACTGTTAATAAACGTCAATGCGATAAAGGGTGGAGATGACTGCTGATGAGTCTTGGCATGGCATACACTGCAAAAACTAGGAACACATTGACCGCTTATCATTGGCTTGGTGTGTCAGGGCCTTCTTATCAGCAGAAATAAGCTAAATTTAACTCTGTAACTCTGGTTGTGTGATACCATTATCAAAAACATTAAAGAGCAACAGATAAATAAAAACTCCCAAAGTAATTAAGTTATGCTACATGTCATGCTATTTTCATTGGTGGATCACTGCCAACAGTGAACAGCGGGATCATAGTTCGGCAGAACTCTTATCACTGAACACACGACTCAGAAAAACTTGCCGTCTGTGTCTGCCTCAACCACAACTACGCACAATTTGCAACATGAACTTTTCTAATAAAGGGAGACAACAGAAAAAGGGCTGACTGCAATGTCCTCCTCTGTTAATGATTGTTCTGACAAATACATTTGAGACTTTGTTCTGGATAAAAAACTAGATTTAACTTGATAGGTTTAAGAGCTGGTGGTTAGTAAATTGTTTGTTGCCATTGATAAGAGCCAGCTGGCTGTTTCCTTCTTTATGCTAAGCTATGCTAATCGTCTCCTGGCTTTAACTTTGTTGTACAGAAAATAACTCACAAGAGCTCAGATAATAATATAACCTTCACACTACTGTTACAAAAATGAACATGTTTTTTTATGGAATTTGGCACTACGCATTTTTTTTTTTGCACTGCTTTAAATGTTGGTTAATATGACACTTGAAACAGTGGAAAATGGAAATCAATTCATAACATTTTGATATACGATATGAGAAATATTCAAACTAGAGAACTTTAGATTTCAGTGACCATATTTTTGCTGTGTTCACAAAAAGGGGACAAACCTTTTCCAGCTTGAATAAGTTAGAAGAAAGTTCTCCAAAGATCTCAGCATTCACTTCATCCTGGGGTCTGCGGCTCACAGCATTTCTGCAACAACATTTGCACTTATATCATAAACAAACTTAACTACCAAAATAAATAAAATAGTATGAGTAATTGTTTTACTGTTTGGTAACTATAACACCAATACCACATGAGTAACATGTGAATCTATCTCTTACTCATTACGGATGTGTTCCCCCATAGACACCAAGGAGCTCAAACGATGCTCAAGAGCCACAATCTTGAAAGCCATGTAACAGGAGGACAGGACGAGGACACTAACTCTGTGAGGAGACACACACACACACAGTGACAGATCAAACATTAAACACACAGAACAATTACCAACATGCCCAAGTGATGAATATGAATCAATAAATCAATTGTCTTATCAGAGTCTCGTATGTCACATAATGAAAGGTTACTCACAAAAACAAATAGATGAGGAGGATGGTGTGTAACGACATGGGCTGTGAGGATTGGCCTTTGAGCTTAGTACCCTCTACAAGGAAAAACAGAAAGATACATATTGATATTATTACAATTATAAAACAATACCACTCTCCAATCTATACCATCAATATCATACAAGAACTATTACAGGGTAAGCATAGTGTTCACATTTAATTATTATTTTCGAATATATCCAAACACAATGCAGAGAAAACTATACATTTAAATAACTTGCATATAAACTGTTTAGAACATATTAATAATAAACACATACATTTTTATACATTATTTGAATTGTTTTAATTCTTCTTATTGCCATGTCTGTATGGTAATATTATAATTATTTTAACTTTATTGTTTAAATTGTTTCCCATCTTAGGTTTTGCATTCTATGAATTCTATAATATTATCTTTTTTTTTGTTCTCCCCCCCCCATCTTATTTGAATTAATAATGTAATTCTCTACCGGTTTTTTA